CAAAATCCCTGGTTTAGCGAGTAATCACCAGAGATATCCAGGGTGGCCCTGAAGTAGTATAGTTTATTTGTGTTTTATTACATTGTTTATTAAATTTATATTTGTTTAACACTATTTAAACTCTTAAGTACTCGAAAATGTCTTCCATCAACATTGCAACATTCCTCGAACCTGTCCAGAACTCTGCGACACACAGTAGGACACAAAGTCCATTGACGTTAAGCATTTAATGCTGCCACGTCCCTTACTGAAAAAGCATAATGAGGAGGCGGCCCCTCTTTTTGAATGAGCAGTTCGGCAAAGTTAGCCTCGGTTCTGAGTTGTGGCACTACCATGTCACATCACAAGTTTTGGTAATTGTTACTATCCACATTTCTACTGCTTCTACTGAAGAAAACCAGTCCTACAACACCTTCACTGGACAGTGTACCCCATACTGGGACGCCTGGCTGATTCAGGTGAGATGTGATAGTCATATGGGGATTTTCATCTGCCTTATACACACAGTTATGCCTGACGTGGCCAGACAATTAGAAAAAAGCCTCATCTGACCAGATGATCTGGTTTGTTAGAGGTCTGGTAACGCATCATCTCAGATTCTGGGTTGTCCTCCAGAAGACCATGTAACAGTCTTCAGGTTACGCATTAAGCGTTGCAAGGATGGATAGCTGCTGACGCGCACGTTGTTCTTTTTCAGACTATTCACAAATGTCAAAGCGACTCTCATCTCATTTCCCTCTTTCATAGATGTGCTAGGGTGTCCAGACCTCAGTGCATTAACCACTGCACCTGTTGCTTCAAATTTATCTCGAATACAATAAATTGTCAGATGTGTTAGTGGAGTAATGTGAAAGGCTTCTTGCCATGCTTTGCACACCCGCTGGCATTTTTAGTCATCTATTTATTCAACTGTATAGCTACTTTTGTGCCACCCTGTATATCGACATGGTCCAGTGCTAGGAGCTGTGATCCAGCCATTAAAGGACAATACTATTTAATTTGGTTTTATAGATATACTCCAAAAGAAAACCTGCATGCATTTCATTCTGCATGTTGTTTTTGGTGGAATATGAAAGTTGGCTTGCAAAAACTGCAGAGGTGCTGACATCAGGCTTTGCAAGTCCTCCTCGACTTTACCCCCAACATAGACAGAGTCTGACAATTCAGTGAGAAATCCCTGTGCTGGAGACTCAAGCGCACATGCAATCACGACTTTCCAATGCTTCTCAGTGAGCTGTAGTACATTCTGTTAGCTAATAAACGGTCCGAAAATGACAGACTAGACACAAAGTATATCAGGAAGTTGGAAGGAATTTATGTGTCTGCATTCCTTTAATCCGTTCACTACCAAGCGGTTTGCATAAAAGCCACCTCCAGAATTCGAGTAATTTGGGGCTCCTGGGAAGTAATGTTTAAATGTATTTTAATTTCAGTATGCGTAGATAGCACATTAAATGGAAACAAAACTGAAAATTTTGGTTGGACATAAAACCTTGATTTACCAAATAATGAAGTAACAGGCAAGGAAATAGTGTTCTAAATCATTATATACGTATTGTATAATTATATGTGTTATCACATTGCCATAATGTTGCCCAACACATATCAGCCTCATTGCAGTGGTTGGACTCACACATACTAACACATGCACACACATACATATCTCAAATTCTCTCACCCAAAATATGAATTACTACATGTACATTGCATATTGATGAAATACATTCACTCAAAAGAAAACGGATTGTGCAGAAAATGATGTTGGTAAACTACAGATATAAATAAAAATATGCTGACAAGGGTAGGGTGATTGGCAGTTACTAGCTCCAAATTAAACCTGTTTTTTACAGACTTAGAGCAGCATGAGAAGTGGGGTGAGAAAGGTACAGAAGGATAACATTAAGGAACACTATAGGGTCAGGAACAAAAACATGTATTCCTGACCCTATAGTGTTAAAGACACTATCTAGCACCCTTGGCCCTCCTAAATATAGTAAAATCTTACCTTTATTCCAGTCTGCTGATGCTGGTTCTGCCCCTGAACCGCCTCCTTGGATGACATAATCAGAAGTGACAAACTCAGCCAATCACAATGCTTTCCCATAGGAAATGTCAGCCACAGTGTGCAGCACTGCCCCATGAAGCCCTTGTAGTAGCCATCTGAGGATTGGCCACTGGAGATATCCTTAGGCTGTAATGTAAACACTGCTTTGCTCTCAAAAAAAAGTGTTTACTGCAAAAAGCCTGCAGGGACTGACTATACTCGCCAGAACAAATACAATAAGCTGTAGTTGTTCTGGTGACTGTAGTGTCCCTTTAATGAATGCAGTGTAGATTTTAATGCATTCATGGTGGCTGTTTTGCAATGTGCAATATTATTTACTAGCAAAGGGAAGCAATCGATGCAGCATCGAGCTTCTAAGGATCTTCAAAGGAAAAAAAAATATAGTTGTCTAATATTATATAACTAAAGTGAAATGTGTCACAGTGAGAGTTATAGTCCAACAACCAATAGATTATGCAAGCTCCTGTCTGGTTAATGGCAGCTCAATTAACTGTACGGTTTCTTTTATAGGTCCGACTGACTCTAAGAACAAGGTGGGTAGACTCGTTATTTCAGTATCATCTTTATAAGAAAGACCATCTCATTAGAAGGGTTTGTATAACTAAAATGAAGAGGTCCAACAAATATTGGCTGTGAAATGCAGTGAGTGAGACTGCTTTCTAATGAGTGACACTGCTTTCTAATGAGTGACACTGCTTTCTAATGAGTGAGACTGCTTTCTAATGAGTGACACTGCATTTTAACAGGGGTGGACTGACAATTCACAGGGCCCCTGGGCAATGGGAGACCAAGGGCCCTCTTCTGGTGCAAAGTTTTTTGGCTGCTGCTACTTTTCTCCCCCTACTTTGTGTGGCTCTCACACAGATTGTATATGCATGCTGCCAAGCACCCATAATGGCTGTGTGAGAACCAACAAGGCCTCCAAACAGGGTCAGATTTGCTTTAAATAGGTTAATCCAACCAAAAACAGTTTTTTAATAAAACACTGTTTTTGAATGGGGTAACCATGACTGGCATGCCTCCATCTCATCCCCTCCCCCATCCCCACTAAAATGAAGAAATAAAGAAAATGTAATTATACGCTTTCTCTGTGTTTGCTGGTGACATCGCAAGCAGCGTCCCCCACATTTGTTTTCAATCATACAAGTCCATGTAAGTAGCCTCCAAACGTGTGTGTAGGCTGCTTGTGGGGTTCAGTGTGTGGGATGCTGCTTGTGATATTGTGTTACTGTATGTCAACGTGTTGTGTTAGAATTGTTTGTCTTCTTATTGTACTGCGCTGCAGAATATGTTGGTGCTATGTAAATGATTGTAATAATTGTGTGTGTGTGTGTAAGGAGGCTGTATGCAGTATTGCAATGGTGGGGATTCTGCTTGTGATAAGTGTTCGTAGGGAGGCTGCATGTGGTTTTCCATGTGTGGGGATGCTGCTTGTGGGATTGTGTGCATACAGTGAGGCTCCTGGTGAGTTTGTGTGTGTGTGAGTCTGGAGATGCGGCTGAGGTGGATGGAGGGGGTCTTTGGCTGAGGTGAGTGCTGAGGGAGATTGGGTGCTGAGGTGGGCATATGGGGATGAGCTGGGTGCTGAGGAAGATGGGGCTTATGTGGGTGGCGGGGGCATAGGGCTGATGTGGGTGCTGAGAAAGCTGGGGACTGAGGTGAATGAAGTGGGAGATGGGTGCTGAGGTGGGTAAAGAGGGACATGGGAGCTTGGGGAGATGGGAACTGAGGAGGGTGAAGGGAGTGGGTTTTAGGGGGAGATGGGGGCTGAGGTAGATGCTGAGGGAGATGGTGCTGAGGTGGGTGGAGGGGGGCATATGGGGAGGGGGGCATGAGCTGGGTGCTGGGGAAGATGGGGGTGATGTAGGTGAAGGGGGGCATTGGGCTGATGTGGGTGCTGAGAAAGATGGGGACTGAGGTGAATGAAGTGGGAGATGGGTGTTGAGGTGGGTGAAGAGTGGTATGGGGGTTGGGGAGATGGGAGCTGAGGTGGGTGAAGGGGGTAGATGCTGGGGGAGCTGGTGCAGAGGAGGCATGGGGCTGAGGTGGGTGGAGGGGGTATGGGTGCAGAAATGGGTGGAGGGGGGTGTGTGTTGGGGAGATGGGACAGAGGTGGGTGGAGTGGGCATAGGGGCTTGGGGAGATGGGAGCTGAGATGGGTGGGTTTTGGGGAGATGGAAGCTGATGTAAGTGGGGGAGATGGTGCTGAGGTGGGTGGAGGGGAGCATGGGGCTGAGATGAGTGGAGGGGGGCATGGGGCTCACGTGGGTGGAGGAGGGGCATAGGGCTCACGTGGGTGCTGAGGAAGGGGGGGACTGAGGTGAATGAAGAGGGAGATGGGTGCTGAGATTGGTGGAGGAGGTGTAGGTGCTGGGGGAGATGAGGGCTGAGGTGGATGGGTCATTGATCGATCTGCCCGAATGGTCAGTCCGCCCCTACATTCTAATGATGATTTTAAAAAAGCACAATGTTATGTTATAACAATGTATTTGTGCATAAAGATACACACTTCAATAACATACCAACATACCAACCAATACATAGTGCCAAGATAGAAATGGTGTTACAATTTATCAACATAAAATATAAAATCAAGAACAAGTAATCAATAAAAAAAAAAAGCTAAGACAAAATTTAAATGCTCACTTACAATTGGAAAAGTGAATAAGTACATAAAGGCACAATATACTTACTGTGCCCCCTTCTGCCCCCAGAAAGTCTCTGTTCCTTCTTGTGTGTGTGTGGGGTGTGGGGGTCCGCTATTGTAGGCTCCAACCTGAGCTATTAGTACTGGCCTTGAAGAAACCTGCAAGGAACCTTCTGCTGATCAGAGTACTGCAATATAGTACATTTGTCTGGGATTTCCATTTCTAAGGCAGTGACATTACGTCTGCTCTAACCAGCCAATATTGAGGCAAACATATTAATATTCTCAATGTGCAATGTGAGCTTGTTTCCAATATTTATAATCAATGACAACGCTAGTTGATAAATTTCAACCGCGTTTTTTTAAACTTTTAATTTTACAAAAAAAAAAAGGAGAACATAATGTATGCACCGTTCAAGGCTGGGAGATGAAATGAACTAACAGTCCCTAATGGCCCCCTATCAGTGGAGAAATATACCCTTGGAGTAATGGGGATAAAAGGCCTGAAAAAGGAATGCACATATGACAATAAACACAGAATAATTCATGGATAGTCAATACTGCATTATGGGCTTACCGCATATCTTCATTATGAATCTTAATTATCATAACAATAATTTTTGTATATTAATATATTCTACTTTGCAGAGTTGGAATTGATATAGCTCTTTATTTTAAAGCATATTGTTTTTAATTGCCCACCTCCAGTGTAAGCTGCTGTGTTCTCTATTGTACAGACAGCAGCCAGTCTGTGTATTGTACAGACGGCAGCCAGTCTGTGTATTGTACAGACAGCAGCCAGTCTGAGTATTGTACAGACAGCAGCCAGTCTGAGTATTGTACAGACAGCAGCCAGTCTGAGTATTGTACAGACGGCAGCCAGTCTGAGTATTGTACAGGCGGCAGCCAGTCTGAGTATTGTACAGACAGCAGCCAGTCTGAGTATTGTACAGACAGCAGCAAGTCTGAGTATTGTACAGACAGCAGACAATCTGAGTATTGTACAGACGGCAGCCAGTCTGAGTATTGTACAGACGGCAGCCAGTCTGAGTATTGCCCAGACGGCAGCCAGTCTGAGTATTGTACAGACAGCAGCAAGTCTGAGTATTGTACAGACAGCAGACAATCTGAGTATTGTACAGGCGGCAGCCAGTCTGAGTATTGTACAGACAGCAGCCAGTCTGAGTATTGTACAGACAGCAGCCAGTCTGAGTATTGTACAGACAGCAGCCAGTCTGAGTATTGTACAGACGGCAGCCAGTCTGAGTATTGTACAGACGGCAGCCAGCCAGTCTGAGTATTGTACAGGCGGCAGCCAGTCTGAGTATTGTACAGACGGCAGCCAATCTGAGAATTGTGCAGGTGACAGTTAGTCCGAGTTACATAGTTACATAGGCTGAAAAGAGACGTGTCCATCAAGTTCAGCCTTCCTCACATATGTTTTTTGCCATTGATCCAACCAAAACCAAACAGTTCATTCTTGACCTCAGAATGGCAGTTAGATTTATTCTAGATCAAGAAGCTATTGCTCTACAGTTGAAAAATTATATCATATATGAATGCTTTCCTATGAGACTGGCTGAATGCGCGCGCAGCTCCTGCCGCGCATGCGCATTCAGCCGAAGAGGAGGAGAACAGGCGGAGAGGAGGAGGAGAGCTCCCCGCCCAGCACTGGAGAAAGGTAAGATTTTAACCCCTTCCTCTCCCCAGAGCCCGGCGGGAGGGGGACCCTGAGGGTGGGGGCACCCTCAGGGCACTATAGTGCCAGGAAAACGAGTATGTTTTTCTGGCACTATAGTGGTCCTTTAAGAGTATAAGTTGCTTGTGTATTCTTTATGCCAAAGTGCATAACTTTTAAAGTGTGTTTTTTCTAAATTAAATTGTATCTGCCATCTGAGTGCCCAGTCCCCCAGTCTATCTAAATCCCTCTTCAGCAAAGTAATATCTTGCTCACATTGTATTACTTTATAGAGTTTTGTGTCATCTGCAAACACTGAAACATATATTATTCAGAAGACAACCAGTCCGAGTTTTGTACAGATTAGGGCCAGCGTTACCATAAGGTTGCACAGGCAGATGCTTTAGGGTCACCAGCCCTGGGGCGCAAGATCCTGCTGACCGACAGGAGGGGTGTGCACAGCCCAGAGCTTTCCTCCAGCCAGTCACTCCAGCCAGTCAGTCCACTCCAGCGGACTGGGGGAGTGGAACTTCAGTAACCTCTACAGGAAGCGCCAACCTGCTTCCTGTCAGACTGGAGAGAGGTTCTTGACCCATGAGGTGAGGAGACACATTGGGGGGTGGAAGGGGGTAAGACACATAAGACACACGGGGGGGGAAGAAACACATTGGAGGTTGGGCTGGGCGAATGAGACACATGGGGAACTGGGAGGAATGAGACACATGTGAGACAGGGGGAATGAGACACATTGTGGGCTGGGGGAATGCTACACATGGGAGGGCTGGGGGAATGAGACACATGAATGGAGGGGCTGAGGGAGGAAATGACACATGGAGGGTCTGGGGAGGGAATGTGATACATGGAGGGTCTGGGAGGCAATGTGATACATGTATGGGCTGAGGGAGAAAGAGACAAGGGTCTGGGGAGAAAAATAGACACACAGAGGGGAAGGGGCAAAGGAGACAGCCAGGGGCTGGGGAAGAGATAAAAAGAGACAGACATAGGTTGGGGGGAGACATTGAAAGGGGTTAAGGGAGGCACAAAGAGACACAGAGGGGCTGTAGTGATAAAGAGACAAGGTTCTGGGGTAGTGAAACACAGAGGTGCTGGGGGTGTAAAAATACATAGAGGGGATAAGGAAGAGGAGAAAGAAATACACAAAAGGGTCTAGGGGGAGAGGTGCACATAAGGGATGGGGAAGAGGAGACAGAGATACAAAGGGATTGGAGGAGGGGAAGATTCACAGAAAGGCTGGGGAAGGGCAGAAAAAACACACACAAAGGGGCTGGTATAGAAAGAGACACACAAAGGGGCTTGGCGATAAAAAATACACTCAAAGGGGCTGAGGTAGAAAGAGCAACAAAATTAAAGGCTATGAGAAATCTGAGAACGGACAAAAGCTTAGAGAAACTCAGTAGCTTGCCCTGGTCGGGAAGGGGTTAAGGACACAAGCAATTTTTGCATCTTTTGCTGTTTGAATTCACCCGCAATTTGCATCTTTCTCATTTATTGCACTAACACATATTATATACTGTTTTTCAAAGGACAAAATAGGCTTTAATTTAATGTGACATATATATATATATATATATATATATATATATATATATATATATATATATATATATATATATATATTTTATAAAATTACAAAAAGATAAGAAAAAAAATGAATTTTTGTTGTTTGTTTTTTCACAGTTTAGGGTAAAGGGTAGAGGTAGGGTTATGTGGTAGGGGTAGGGTTATGGCGTAGAGTTAGGGTTTGGGAATTGCCAAAGTCTTGAAGTCTCGAAGTGCCGAATTCCCAAAGTCCCAATTTCGGAACTGCCGAATTCCCGAATTTCAGAAGTGCCGAACCGAACCGAAATGCAGAGTTTCAGAAGTCCCGAATTTCGGAAGTGCCGAACCCGACCGAATTTTTTTGCCCATGCACATTACTAACGAGACCTGGCTATTTCTGTTTCTACAGTTAGAATTCTCATAGATGGTGTTGATGGGTCTATATCTCATATCTCTCCTGGTAAAATATTTTATAAATAAATAAATACATTTTGGGGAATTATAGCAGTTCGACCATTTAAATAGCCCCATGAAGACCTACCATTTGTGAAAGTAGACACTTAAGGGTATGGTGTATATTGTGCCTTAACGTGCCACCATTTTTTCACCAGTTTATGTCAATATTTGTGGTAAAATAGTTTTTTTTGCATTTTTTTACATACACATGGCATTTCTGATGACTATTTTGTAAATCATATGTGTGCCACTGTGATAAAATCCCACAAATTATGCCAAGCAACATCTTTTGAATAAAACAATACCCCCAATATATGACCTAGGCATGATTTTTTTGTAGTGCTGATACATACACCAATGCCTGTATTGCAATAACAAGCGCAGTTATAGTCAACATAATAAAACATAGGTATGGCATGAGTAAACTTGGCACATTTTTTGTTATTTAATAATTCAAGATGTAGCATAATGTGAGAAACAACATTAAACAGTTTGCGTACCAGCACATGTTTGGGGGAAAGCTATACGTGTGAGAGTGTGATATTCGTATGACCAAATGCTTGTGTAAGGAAACTATCTCTCAGAGCAGAGAAGCGTGTGGGTGAGCTTGCGATGTGTGAGGTACGATTGACATTTAGGCAATGAGCTTACAGTGATACCCCCCCTTCGATCCCCTGATCAGTCAAATAATATCAATAGATTCGCTGTAGCTAAAAATAAACACTAAACTAAACTTTGAGTGTACAATTTAAGTGCACAGAGGTATGAAGCAATGGGCACTGTTATTTTTATCCACTTAAGAAAGCCCTAAGGGGGGCGGAGCCTGACAACGGAACCGAGCGGACGCACAATAGAGGAGCTCCCGCTTGGACACTCATAATCCAGCCGATTTGGGAGCACCCAATACCGACCTTGGGCACAGACGCTGGGTCTGAAACCAGGACAGCCAGCCGACACCGCCGATGCCGTTTTTTATTGCGCCCGGCTCCAAAACACGACGCCGAGGTGGTAAGGCCTACCACGCGGGCGGACGGCAGAGAGACTCAGAGGAGGGAATCTGGCCCTGGGGCTCACCTGCTCTGGAAGACTGGTACCACAACCAGCCACACACAGGTGAGATGGGGCGCAAGTCTCAGAAACCACCCACACATACCCCAAGGCCCCAGCGCGACATAGGCCAGATGTTGCAGGCCCCAGGTGCAGCGCGGACCACGTCCCATCGGGACTCCTCTCCACTGCCCTCAGAGGAAGGGGAACCACCTGATTGCCCACTCACTCCATGTCATACAGCTCCCCCACGGGTAATGGAGGATAATGCCCCAGCATCCAGGAGTGATATCCAGGCCATGCTGACAAGCCTGCAACAGAACCTCAGGCAAATGTGGGAGGCTGACCTGGCAGTGCTAAAAGGGGATGTAAATGCTGTGACAATACGTACACAAGCTACAGAGAATGAAGTGGAGACCCTGAAACAAGGCCTACAAGAGCTGGGGGAGAAAGTACAAAAACTAACCACCACACAGACTACCCTCTCCAGACAAGTCAACCTACTGGACGACAGGGGGAGACGCAAAAACGTCAAAATCAGAGGGGTGCAGGAATCCATCCCACTGGAGGAACTACCACATTTCATCAGACGCCTCGTAGCTGCACTACTTCCAACCAGACAAGCCAAAACCTTCTTATTCGACGGAGTCTACAGAATTGCGAAATCCCCGCAGGCACCAAGCGCAGCACCGCGAGACATCATACTACGGTGCCAGTCTATGTCAGACAAATTGGGACTTTTAGCAGCGCTCCAGGGAAAGACTCCTATAGAATTTGAGGATTGCCGATTATCCTTTTTTCAAGACCTGAGCAGAGCCACACTACTATGGCGCAAACAAATGCAACCACTTACTAAACCACTCCACGCAGCAGGCATTACCTACAAGTGGTCGACTCCGGGGACCCTATGGGTTACCAAAGACAACAAGCATTACAAGGCCATGGACCCCTCTGAGGGCCCAGCTCTAATGGCGACACTGGGACTCCCAACTCTGCTGACAACTTCAACGCCACAGCCAGGCCATCGACCCAGGAGGGTGGAAGCAACAACAACAGCTACACCCAGACCCCATGGAGACACCAAGTCCTGAAACGACGCGCTCAGTCTGGGACTCTTGGACTCTTACTAAGACTCTCCTACTAAAGTGTTTAGTAACGTTTACAAGCTTTAGTATTACTGGTTCACCCCTTTCTGTTATAGTGGGATAGCGTCCTATTGGAGGCTCCACTAGCCGGCTCTGGCGACAACTCCCTCCCTCCCCCCCGCACTGCCCTGGGGTAATAGGGTACCACCAGCATGGGAGCTTTACACTCACACATAGTCTAACGCTTTCTTCCTCCCCTCACGCCGTGGGTTCTTTGCCCTTTGGGCGCAGATAGGCTTCCATACAGCTCCCACCCACCTAGACACCTACTAGACTCAAACATTTATCACATCGTGCTTACACACAGCCAAGTTCATCACTATATATAGCTAAGCCACACAGCGCACCTCCAATCCAGGCGAGAGCCATGCAGCTTCCGAAGGAAGGTATAATAGACATAAACTAAAACCATATAGGATGCAGCTGAAGGGAACGCCACGACGCTCCACACACCAAACACGGCTCTAGACCTGGACTCCGTACGGAG